CATTCCCCCCATGTCGAAATTGTCTGTGTACGCCTTTGGTTTAGATCCGTCGGTTTACGTCGTTCCTTCTGGTTTGATGGCTATGATTGTGTCGCAGAGAAGTCCCATTTGGTTTTTTTCTAAATTTGATGTCAAAACAGTACCATTGAGTGTTCTCTGAAAGATTCAGTTGCAAATTGTTCACCTTTTTTTTATATTCAATTCTGAACCGTTGCGAGAAGGGAAACACGTACAGCGTTAGAATTGGTTTTTCGACTCGAAGTCAAATGAGTATTTCATTTGGACGAGATCCTTGTATAAAATGAAAAAGAAAAGATGCAAAACCCACAAAGAATAAACATTTTATTCTGAATTCGTAACTATACATGACACTTCAAATGCATTTCTGATTATTACGCACTACACTGTTCAAGAGATGAATTTGAAATGTTTACAGAGGCAGTTTCACGGTTGAATGGCGGCTATTTCGAATATAAACACTGTTTAACAAGATCAAGTAATCCTCTGGGGAACCCCTTGATATATTGCACAGAGTACAATTGTTTATTTTGTGCGGTCAAGTCTAAGGTTGCGAAATAAAAGTGATGTTTAATCCCTAATCCCTCTCCCTCTAACACTGAGTAAGTTTTTAACGGGAAGTAGTCATTTAAAAATTCAATTCAATGGATTATTCACTTACATGTCCGGTAAAAAAATGGCCGTCGTCCCAACAACAATCGATTCGCCATCATTGCTTAAGATACGTACTCTTCCCAGACCCCTATGGCTGTGTAAGCGCCAGGAAGTTTGCATATCGAATCTCTTCATTACTCGTGACTATGTTTTATATCGTTGTCTAAAAACTAGTGTACGTAAGACTGTAGTTAAGAGAGTGATTTCAACAAAGTTAAAGTTAGGTCGTCGAACCGGTTCTCTAAGCTTCCGAGTGACAGTTCTGAAGCTCCGCGTAAATACGAGATTGATTGTTCATGTTAAGTGACTGATAATGAGAAGGAGGCCTTGAAACTTGCAATTCTGCAATTTCATCATAGATTCTATTCTTACTCATTGGATCTTCATACGCTGGATTGGAATGTCCATTGGTGTTAGGCGTTTTTTGCCTGTGTCTTGTAGGAGAGGAAAAATAAAATAGATAAGAAAGAAAAATAAAAATCTTTAACCAGCCAGCCACCTATCAAATCTTGCTATGTAATGCTATGTCATTCGAGCGAACGCGCGCTCCAACTCAGGCAAAAAGACAGAACCTCAGGTTTGTTGATGCCTCACTCAGCCAAAGTAACAATACAAGTTGTTTTATTCTTTGTATGGGGGTTGTTTTGTAGAGGAGGTCAACTTTCAGAATAACAAAGGATATGAGAGAAGGATATCAAAGTTGGGAATTGCGTTGGGTTAGTGAATAGCAAGCCGGAACAAGGGATCGAAAGGTTCAAAGCTAAGCCGTGGTGGGGTCACTGCGATGTAATCATGAAGACAATGCTTTACCATTTTACTGTAAACGTGTTGCTTTCTGCCCACCCCCCTTAAACCCCTTCCCTGGTGTATCAGTGACCACCGTTAAGCAATTAGAGAACTTGACTTAAGGAGAATTAAGCAATTAGAGAACTTGACTTAAGGAGATGGGGGGAGAGGGAGGGGAGAACTTCAGCGATGAATAACCCTCGCATCCAGTACCATAAGTTATTTTTTCAGTTGTTATTTTCCTAATATGAAGACTTGCTCATTTATTTGTTTATTTATTTATTTAATGATTTGTACCAAGTAATGGAGCAGAAACAATAGGACATGGGTCCTCTACGAGGTTTAAGCTCCAAAAAACCCAGTTATCCCTCCCCAGGTGAGAACATCCATCACACAGTAATCTCGTGCGTGGGAAATTAACGTCTCCTACCCCTAACCCCTAACCCTATCCGAGAAGACTAGAATATCTCACCATTTCTTGATGTTAGGGATAGGTAGCATATTCTTCTCAATTATTCTAAGACCTTGAGTGTTGGTCCGGCCGGGGCTCGAACCCTCGACCTCCCGCGCAACAGTCCAGCGCTCTATCCATTGAGCTAACCGAGAGGCGGTTATCAGTAAAATATCAGTAAAATAAAAACTTCTAACTGGCCTCTCAGGAATGCGACTCGAACGATCTCAACGTTACCCCTCCCAGTATCCTCGCATTGCTAAGGCTGTTGTACCCTGCCTTAGTCTTTATTGAAATTCAACTCTATCAGTTTCTGTCCTATTTATTATGGATAAACACGATAGCAGTAAAGATAGCAACAAGATATCCTTATGGGTGACGGTAATGACAACGATAAAAAAACTAAAATTCTAGTTTTGACTTACATTCTTTGTTTCCTCAAACAAAAGATGCCAACACCAACAATTATAATGACTGGTACAGCGGTTGCTATGGAAATCATGGCACTGAGAGGGGGACCTTTCTCACCAGTATTTGATGTTTTGGGAATTCCTGATGAAAAAAGGAATTGATAAGCGATCAAATACGAAGATTGTTGACAGTAGTGCAAATACATTCATCATAAAATATTTTGGCTGATTTCTTATAATTTCTGTT